GGAAGGGGGGTGAGACAGGGAGCCAACAGCTGGGGCTGGGCCAGGCCAAAGCGAAGAACGAGGAGCTTTATCTGGGTCTCCCACACGGGTAGCAGGGGCCCAAACACTTGGGCCATTCTCCACTGCTTTTTGTAGGCCATTAGCAGAGAGCAGCTGGGACACAAACCAGCGCCCATATGGGACACCTGCATTCCAGGCGGTAGCTTCACCTACTACACCACGATGGCAGCCCCAAAGTGATAGCCAGAAATCATGCACAACGGTGGGGACACCTGCTCTTATCGTGAGCACATCTACCTTCTCCCCTATAAAATACACGCGGGCCAAATTAATGACAGCAAGTGTCCTCTTAAAAGTGATGGAAAGATGGCAAGACGGAAATCCTTCACCACCCAGAACTGTTTTCACAGAATGGCCAGCAGACCAGCAGCCAGGCAGCCGTGCACGTAGAACTGGCACTAAGGGCTCCAGTCGCAGTGATGAGACTTGCTCAGTGCAAGACTCCGGGGCCGGTGCCGTGGTGCAATGGGTAAAACCACCACCTGCAGTACTGGCATCCCATAGGAGCGCTGGTTCAAGTGCTTGCTGGTCCTCTTCTAATCCAGCTCTCTGCTGATGTGCTTGGAAAGCAGTAGAGGATGGCCCAAATGTTTGGACCCCTGTCATCCATGTGGGAGATGTGGATGGAACTCCTGGCTCATGGCTTCAGCCTGGCCCAGTCCTGGCTGTTGCCCCCATCAGGAGAGTCAACCAGCAGATGGAAGATCTGTCTCTCTGGCCCTCTCTCTGTAACTCTTATAAATAAACAGATCTTTAAAAGAAATAAAATTACAAAGCATAAACCAAGCCTAGGGTGAAAAAAAAAAAAAAGGCAAGGTTAGATCTGGTGTCTTTACATAGAGCTCACTATCAAAGGTTAGATGAGGAAGAAACCACGGGCACACCTTCTCCCCTGCTCAGCAGTCATGGGGTGTGGATGGCAGACCGTGAGGGCTCTTGCTCTGGGCTATGGAATCACATGGGAAGATCGCCCCAGGCAGGCCTACAAGGCAAATGTGAATCTTCCTGGAGCAGAGCATCCTCAACTGAGGGAACTTAAAAGTCCCCAAGTGTCCACTCCAAATTGAAGGGGAAAAAAATTAAAACACAAGGAAAAGAAACCATTACGTACAAGAGTCATCAAGGGCAAAAGGGACTTAATTCTCAAGAAATTAAGGTATTGGAATGAACAAAAACAATTTACACTAGCCACATAAATAGAGTGGAAATAAATGAGTAACGAACTAGGCAGATTGAAAGAAAAAAGAATCAAAGAGAACTTCTAAAAATAAATTACTAAGATTAAAACTTCAGTGAATGGTTTAAAACAGCAGACTGGGTTTATATGAAGAAAGAATGGGTATCTGGAATATAGACCTGAAGAAATTACTCAGAATGCTCCACAGGAAAACAGGACAGGACATAAAGAACAGACTGAGGAAGCCTAATGTAAAACCGACTGGGGGAGGGGCCAGCGCTGTGGTGCGTAGGGCTAAGCTGCCTGTTCTAGTGCCAACATCCCCTGTCCTCAGTGCCGCCCCACTTCAATCCAGCTTCCTGCTAATGACCTAGGGAGGTGGAAAATGGCCTAAGTACTTGAGCTCCTGCCAACCATGTGAGAAACCAGCACGGAGTTCCAGGATTTCGCTTGGTGGGGCCTTGCCAGACCTGGCTGTTGGAGCCATTTAGGCAGTGAACCAGAAACACTTTCTTTCTCCACCTTCTCCCTCCCACTCTGTCACTCTACTTTTCAAATAAATAAATCTTTGATATAAAAACAAAGTTAAGGAAATCCATATCTACAGACATATTACAACAAAATGCTAAAATACCAAAGAAAAAACTTAGAAGCATCAGAGCCATATCAACAAATGGTGTTAAGCAGATGTCTATAAAGATAAAAAAATTAACTCAAAATGGACCACAGAATTAAATGTAAAAACTATAAAATTTATTTTTGGGAAAAAAAAACCAACAGAAACTTCACTAGCCCAAGCTCTGACATAAAAATCACTCTCCATGAAAGAAAAAACCAACAGAATTTCAGAAAATTTAAATATTGCTTTGCAAAAGATGAAAAGTCAAGCTACACAGAGTGAACATTTCTGCAGACATTTCTGACATTGAACAAGTATCTAGAATATATCAAAAGCTCTTAAAACTCAAAAGTAAAAGAAGGAGCAAGTGTTTGGCACACAGTTAACTTGCCTTCTGAGATGCCTCCACCCCATACTGGAGGTCTGAGTTGAAGGCTCAGCTCGACTTCTGCAAATGTGCACCCTGGGAGGCAGTGCTTGGGCTGCTGCCACCAACATGTGCATCCAGATTGAGTTCACAGCTACTGGCTTTAACCTGGCCCAGCCCCGGCTGCTGCAGGCATTTGGGGAGTGAACCAGCAGATGGAGATCCGTGTGTGTGTGTGTGTGTGTGTGCATGTGTGTGTGCGCACGCACGCCTTCCAAGTAAGTAATTTCAAAATGAAAAAAAAGGAAAAAAATCCCTTTGGACATGAAGTGAAATTTCACTGGATATGCAGACAGCAAAATGAATCCATAAAAAGATGTTCAACATCACTAGCAATTATGGAAATAGGAATTACAAGCAAAATAAGATGCCACTAAGTACCTCTCCAAATGGCTAGAAAAAAAACATACTGATATTCCCAAATGCATAAGGATGTGGAAAAAAAAGATGAATGTATACATATATATATATACACACAGATAGAATATTATCTTTATAAATAGAAGATTCAACAGTATGAAGTGTTTTTTTTTCTGAAAATGATCTACTACTTCAATGAAAATGCAATTAAAATATCAACAGAATTCTTTGGGAAACCTGACAAATGGGTTCCAAAGTTGCAAAGAACAAAGAGCCAAGGAATTTCTGATGAAAAAACAAGTGGAAAGATGTGTTTAAATACTGAGACTTTTGGGGCCGGCACTGTGGCACAGTGGGTTAACGCCCTGGCCTGAAGCGCTGGCATCCCATGTGGACACCAGTTCTAGTCCCGGCTGCTCTTCTTTCCTATCCAGCTCTTTGCTATGGCCTGGGAGAGCAGTAGAAGATGACTCAAGTCCCTGGGCCCCTGCACTCACATGGGAGACCTGGAAGAAGCTCCGGGCTCCTGACTTTGGATTGGCTCAGGTCTGGCCTTTGCAGCCACCTGGGGAGTGAACCAGCAGATGGAAGACCTCTCTGTCTCTACCTCTCTCTGTAACTCTTTCAAATAAAAAAAAATAAAACTTAAGAAAGAAAATACTGAGACTTTCCATAAGGCCAAAAAATAGTATGTATAATTGGTATTGGTTCTGGGATAGAGAAAAACCAACAGGATAGAGAGCCCATGAAAAAAGTAGGGGTGCTCAGGGAAAAAGAGAGAAAAACATGACAGAGGTGGAACTTTGACCAATGGAGAATTTATGAACCATTCAATAATACATTTTGGACTACTGGTTATATCCATATGTAAAAAAAAAAACCACAAAAGCTAAAAAATGATTTTGGATCTACCTATCTACCTACCTATCTATCTACACACAGAGAGACTATTTATATATATATTATATAAATACACACAAACATACACAATTAAAGACTTAAATGTAAAAAAAGCTTTATAACTTTTAGGATATAGAATATCTTTATTAGTTCAGGATAGGTAAGGATTTCTTAAAATACAAAAAGCATAAAATACAGCGAGAAAGGCTAGTAAGTTTATGATTAAACTTAATTTTCTGCCTAAAATGTATAACCTAATTCTAATCAAACAAGTAGAACTTCCAATTTATAGGAAATAAACTAGCGAACATGATGAAGACGCCATCAAATAATTAACTTTGCCATCTTAAGCAAGTAAAAACCTGTACAATATGTATACAACAAAATTTTCAGACACTGGACAATATCCAGTATACGACAGTGACTTTTTTAAAATTAACTGATCGGAGAGGCAGAGAGACAAAGAGTAAGCTTTCGTACACTGGTTTAATCTCCAAATGGCTGGGACTGGGCCGAGCCGATGCTGGGAATGCAATCCAGGGCTCCTACCTGAGCAGCTGGGACCCAGCTACTCAAGCCATCACTGCCGCCTCCCCGCGTGCACTTGAGCAGGAAGCTAACAGGAGCTTGCCAGGGACTGGAACCCAGATACTCCATGACGGGATGCAGGCATGTTAATGGGCATCTTAACCAGTAGGTAAAATGCCCACCCAGGAAAACTACTCTTAAGAAGAAAAACAAGCAAGGTAGGCCCTACTACATGGAATTTGCAAGCTGTAGCACAGGCTACAAAAAGAGCCTGGGAATCTCCCTGAGCAGAGAATTTAGGGGAGCCAATGCAAAATTCGGAAGGAAAACTACTGCAGAGGAGAGAGCTATGGAGGCTTTCCTTGGGCCTTCAGCTAAACACCAGTGTTTACGTGTGAAGAAAGTACCCACAGCCAGGAAAGAAAAACCAGAAAGGAACAGGAGGTAAAATATGAGCTCACACAGAACTCACAGAGTACTTCACGTCCCTAATGGCCAGGGTGGAGAAACAGTATAAGCGAAGACTGCTCAGAAGGTGATCACCTCAACAGAGGGCCAAATCAGCCCTGGATTAGAGGCCGTTCTGGTCCCATCTCACCTAAGCTTAAAAAGCAGGCTAAGGAAGGATAAAACTGTTTCCAAATAACTTACATGTCCCAGAACAAAACTCAAGATGTTTAAAGGAATATGGAAAACTCCAGCACAATGTAAAAACCAAAAATTATAGGTAAGAATTATAACTCAGTATCAGGTTGAAGGTCAGGGGCTAGGGTGGGAATCAACAGAAACAAACACAAGAGAATGATACAGATGTAGAATGAACAAACAGGTATTATACATACATGTATACTCCAAAAGTCCAAAAAAGAGGAAAAGATTAGATATAAAGTCTGAGGTAAAAAATACATGGGTAGTACGAATAGGAGATGAGGTACTTCAGAAAAAAAAATTAATGAATTTGACACAGCAATGAAAACAGAGACAGGACAAAGACAACAAAATTGAACACAGTATCAACTGCTATGAGATGTCAAGTGACCTAACAGTGATTGAACCCCAGAAGAGTGAGAGGTAGCAAAGAGACAGAAAAACATAACTGCAGAAATCTGCTATTTTTTTCTACATTTGATGATAAACCATAAATCCATAAGTAAACAGATACAGAAGAAGAAACACTGAGCACATCATAATCAAATTGCTTAAAACCAGTGACAAAACCTTAAATCACAATAAAATATCTCAACATCCACTAAATGGCAAAATTGTTGAAATTTGAAATTAATAAGTATTACAAATGATGGGCAACAAAAGGAATGCTTATGTGCTGGTAGGGCTAAAACCAGATAGTCACTTTGAAACAGAATGTGGCATTGTCTGGTAAAGACCGAGACGGTAGTATCACTCCCAGATAATGTTCATAGCAGCATTGTTTGCAACAGCAAACACAAAAACAAACAGAACCCAAATGTCCATCAACAGAATGTATAAGTTGTGGTAAATTCATTCACTATGCAGCAAAAATGAGTTTCTAAAAATACTAAATCGCAAAAAGAAATTCACAGGAATAAATATACATTAAGCCATTTATATAAAATTCAAAAACATACAAAAATTAACATTACATTTAGGGATACAAACATACATTGTGAAACTATAACAACTAGCAAGACTGACAAAACTCAGAGTAACAATTACTGAGGAGGGAGGCCACACAGAGGACTTCTAAAATGTAGGTGTTGGTTCATTTCTTAAGCTGGCTGATGGCTACACAGATATTTACATTTATTATTCCTTATGCCTCATATATACATGGCTGTGTATTTCTGTAGTTTGAAATACTTAATTTTAAAAAAGACTGAAAACGGTGAAGAACTTTAAAAATGAAGATGGACATTTATGTATAGCAATAAAATTAATGTAAAAAAACAACAGCCAATTTGTTACTCTCATTGCCCATTGCCCTGTGGAATCAGTATTAATGACAAGTGGAGTCTATAACTGCTCTAACACAATCTGAACATCTGCTTTTCTGGCACTCTACGGCGCCCACTCATGCTTTCATCTGTACTTAGATTTTTCTTTAGATTTCTTTGGACTTCTGCTCCGGCCTCTCCTCTTACCCCTCTCTCTTTCGTAAGAGTCAGTGTGGTACTTGGACTTGTGACTATTGCTATAGTCGCCATCCCTTTCTCGAGATCGGCTGCGACTTCGGTTCTGAGGTCGGTCTCTCTTTTCATTCTTTTGTTTCTCCCAACAGCTTTCTTCTTCTTCATAGTGACCAAACCCCATCTCCCTGTAGATATCCTGTCAAAGGAATGGAAAGAACATGACCGGCCAATCAATAATCACTTTGTGGGCACTGCCAATTAATAAAACCTAGAAAAGTCCACCATTTGCAAGCTGTTTTAACAGCTCAATTTTGAACACAACTGCTAATGTCAAAAATCCTGTAAATGAGAAAGTAAAAACAATTCAGAAAAAGATTTAAACTGTCCTTTTGATCAGTCTCATTGCTTTGTGTCTGTTAGTGCAGCTGAACTGAAGAATCAGATCCAAAAACATGAAACTGAAGTAGCCCAACTGAAGTAAGGAAAGTTTTAGAGCAACATTGCTTGGGCCTGGTCCAGCCCTGGCTGCTCTGGCAATTTGGAGAATGAACCAGCAGATGGAAGATCTCTCTCTCTCCCCCTCTCTGTAACTGCCTTTCAAATAAATAAAAAAGCTTTAAACAAGAAAGAGAGATCATTTGTAAAATTAAACTTTCTTAAAAGATTACTTAAATGAAAGACAAAATTCTAGGGACTGAATTCCCAACCCAAGGGTCCCAATTCTGTCACTACAGATATTATTATAGTGGGACCAATGTCAATGTCTAAAATCTAGAGTAATGAATATTGAAGGGTCTGTGACTTGTCATTCTCTAAATGTCTCGATACCGAACACTTCACCTAGCATAAAGTCTGCAGTATGCAAAAAGAGATCTAACTCGACTGTTAGAACTACAGTGTTGATGGAATACAACTTTATAAACTGCTTCATGATTTCCACAAAATCCAACAGTTCTCATCATTCTGTAAGAGTCTTATGATGGGGGCCCACATTATAGCACAGCAGGGTAAGCTGCTGCCAGTGATGCCAGCATCCCATATCGATGCTGGTTCAAATCTTGGTTGCTCCACTTCAGTTCCAGTTCCCTGCTAATGTGCCTGGGAAAGCAATGGAAGAAGTACTTAGGTCCCAGCCACTCATGTGGGAGACGTGGATGAAACTCCTGGCTTCAGTCTGGGCCAGCCCAGGCCACTGCAGCCATTTTGGGGAGTGAACAGTGAGTGAAAGATCTCTCTCTCTGTGTCTCTGTCTCTATCTTTGTCACTCCCTCTCTACTTTTCAAATAAATAAATAAATTCTTCAAAAAAAAAGTCTTATGAGGAAGAAAAAAATAGCTATTTTGGTTTAGCCTTTTACCAACTACTTTTTAGAAATATGACATTCCTAAATGAAGATTTTTTGTATTTCCTGCAACATATACAAAATGTAAACATCAAGGATGATGCTATTGGACAGGTTACGCCACCATTTGCAACTCCAGCATCCCAAATGGGCGCTGGTTCCAGTATTAGATGCTTCACTTGTGATCCAGCTCCCTGCTAATAGTGCCTGGGAAAAGCAGTAGAAGATGGCCCATGTACTTGGGCCCCTGTACCCACATGGGAGACCCGCATGAAGCTCCTGGCTCCTGACTTCACCCTGGCCCAGCCCTGACCACTGTGGACATTTAGGGAGTGAACCACAAGATGGAAGATCTATCACTCCCTCTCTCTCTTTGTAAATCTGATCTTTAAATAAATCTTAAAACACAAAACAAAATATAAACATCTATGTACTATTTCTGTATACTTAACACCCAGTTTTGTATTTGTTGAGATAATAGGCTTTTTTATAAAAAAAATTTACTTATTTATTTAAAAGGCAGAATTAGAGGGGGACAGATAGAAGGAGAGACAAGGAGAGAGAGAAATCTTCCATCTACTGGTTCACTCCCCGAATGGCAACAATGGCCAGAGGTGGGCTAGTCCTAAGCCAGGAGTTTCTTCCAGGTCTCCCATGTGGGTGCACAGGCCCAAAGATTTGGGCCATCCTTTGCTGCTTGCCCAGGCACATTAGCAGGGAGCTAGACTGGAAATGGAGCAGCTGGGACTCAAACTGGCACCCATATGGGATGTCGGCATCACAGGTGGTAGCTTTACCTGCTACGCCATAATGCCAGCCCCAAGACAAGACCTCTAAAATGCAGAGACTGTCAGCCTATACAACTCCATAAAATCCTCACTACATTATAAAAAAAAAAAAAGAGAGAGAGAGAGAGAGAGAAATAAAAGGTTATATAGTATCTAATTCTCTGAAAAAATTGAGGACACTGAAACTCTGGAATTTATGAACACTTTAAAATCACTCTGCCTTTTGCAAAAAGAGAAATGCAGAGTTTTAAAGAGGCAGAGGCAGAGAGAAGGGGAGAGAGTAAGAGGTCTTCCAAGCACTGGTTCACTCCTCAGATGGCTGCAATGGCCGGAACTGCTGGAACACCACCGATCAGGAGCCAGGAGCTCCCACGTGGGTGCAGGGGCCCAAGACCTTGGGCCATCCTCTACTGCTTTCCCAGGCCGTAGCAGAGAGCTGGATTGGAAGTGGAGCAGCTGGGTCTCAAACCGGCGCCCAAATGGGATGCTGACGCTGCAGGTCATGGCTTTACCTGCTACACCACAGTGCCAGCCCCTAAAATAAATCTTAAAAAATAAAATAAAATCACTGACTTGGAGTAGTTTCCAAAGCTATACAAGCTCTGAAGCCAGGCAGGTTAGGCAGTATGTCCAATAGAAAGTCCTCAAGGTTAGATTCATCAGAGGTTTTATGGAGAAATTAGGATTTGAGATGAGCCTCAAAGGACAACTGGGTTTGGGTTCAGACTGAATGCAAGAAGACAAATGGAAGTAATGCAAGTGAGAACTCAGAGGCAAGGAAGAACGAGCTCTGTGATATGGAGGAGGAAGGTTGACATGGCTGGTGCAGGCATATTAAAGTAGGGCCTCTAAGTATGTGCCTGCACAGTACTGAGTGCTTCAGGAGTGCAAGTGATCATCATTCCAGAAATAAGGAAACAGACTCAAGAGATACACACAGGTTGGAGATAATTATTGTATTGATCAGTAAGTTTCAGGCTCGAAAGAGAGAAGTGACACAGTATGGGGTGGGAGGACAACCAACACTGAATGAAATCAAAATAAATTCTAAAGTTCTTGGCTTCCCACTAAACCATAAAGGGCTAAGGGCCTAAGGGGGTAGCTTCATTCTAAAAGTAAAAGAAATGAACCACCTGAGCTCTAAGTCCCTTCTAATACAGACTTGTTGGCATCCCAAACAGAAGTGCTAGATCAAATCCAGCTACTCTGCTCCCAATTTGGCTTCCTAACAATGTGCCTGGGAGGACAGCAGAGGACAGCCCAAAAGTTCCTGGGCCCTGCCACCCATGTGGGGGACTAGGATGGAGTTCTGGACTCCTGGCTTAGTCCTGAACCCAGCCTTGGCTGTTGTGGCCATTTCAGAAGTGAACGAGTAGATGGAAGATCTCTCTCTCTCACTCCTTCTGACTCTGCCTTATAAATAAATCTTACAAATGAATAAATAAACATTTTTTTAAAAAAGTGTTTATACATTTAAGACATAAGACAAAATGATGAAAGGGGCATGTGGCCAAAAGAGAAGAACATAGACATACACACATAATGGTCAATTTAAAAAATAAACATGGGGCCGGTGTTGTGGCGTAGCGGGTAAAGCCACCGCCTGCAGTGCCGGCATCCCATATGGGCATCAGTTCGAATCCCGGCTGCTAAACTTCCAATCCAGCTCTCTGCTGTGGCCTGGGAAAGCAGTAGAAGATGGCCCAAGTCTGGCCCCCTGCACCCACATGGGAGACCCGGAGGAAGCTCTTGGCGCCTAGCTTCGGTTTGGCACAGCTCCTGCTGTTGCAGCCAATTGGGGAGTAAACCAGCAGATGGAAGACCTCTCTTCCTCTCTGCCTCTTTCTCTCTGTGCATAACTCTGACTTTCAAATAAATAAATAAATCTTTTAAAAAAATAGTCGATTAACCTCACAAATAACTGATGTAAAGCAGATAACATGAAGTCTAACTAAAAACAATCCTCGTTCAGGTCTTTGGGAATAAATAAAAAAATTTAGTTTAATCTAAATCACTAAAGAAACATTAAATTATTAAAATGACAACAAAAATAGAGTCTCATATTACAAACAAAAACATGGCAAAAACAAGCACTGATAAAAACCAGTATGAACACTTCCTCTACCAGCAGCCCACAGCTAAGTACTCATTTCCCAAAACCCAACCTCAACCACACAAAAAATCATCTTTGGAATTAAGTCATGAAGTGGAAAACTGAAGAGAGGTTTTCAGATTGAATAGTAAGGTTGCTACTCAATGAAAAATGAAACATTTGAAGAAATAAACTAAAATGTTCTTAGGAAAACAGACTTGCCAGAAGTTGAGCTACACCTGAAATTTAATCAATACTGAAAAATTCCCTTTAGTGATTACATTTTGAGACTGAAATCAAGAGGAAAATAAAAAAATACAAAAAATTAGGACACATTGAAATCTTAAATTTGCAGCTATTTTATTGGAAAGAAAATAAAGAGAAAATGAATCCTGCTATGTTATTAAATCAAAGTATTGAAAAACACTTTATTTCAAGGAGAGTTTTTTTTTTTTCCCAAAACTTAAAAATGCTCTCACTGCCAACTACTTTAAAATTTTTTTAAAAAATAATCAGGGAGGGGCCGGCACCACGGCTCAATAGGCTAATCCTCCGCCTTGCGGCGCTGGCACACCGGGTTCTAGTCCCGGTCAGGGCACCGGATTCTGTCCCGGTTGCCCCTCTTCCAGGCCAGCTCTCTGCTGTGGCCCAGGAGTGCAGTGGAGGATGGCCCAAGTGCTTGGGCCCTGCACCCCATGGGAGACCAGGAGAAGCACCTGGCTCCTGGCTTCGAATCAGCACGATGCACCGGCCACAGTGGCCATTGGAGGGTGAACCAATAGCAAAGGAAGACCTTTCTCTCTGTCTCTCTCTCTCACTGTCCACTCTGCCTGTCAAAAATAAAAAATAGAATAATAGTAATAATCAGGGAGATTGCAGTAGAAGATGTCCAAGTCCTTGGGCCCCTGCACCTGCATGGGAGACCCAGAGGAAGCTCCTGGTTCCTGGCTTCAGATCGGCGCAACTCCGACCAT